TGGAGGGAATACACAGTGATTTCTGAATCGATCAGGATGCTGCCTGTGGGCCCCTCGACCTGGGCTGAGATCAGAGGGCAGGGCCACAGCCAGGCTGATACAGTGCTGAAGCCACAGAGCGGTGTCTAGAAAATGAGGTGTGATGGCTTTTTCACGTTTCTTTCCTCCTCACCCCTGTTGCACCCTCTCTGCCCAGCCTGGGCACCTTCAGGCAGTGGGAGAGCACCCCCAAAGGGGTCCAGCATTGCGCCCACAGGGTACAATTTTCCCACAGTACAAAAAAAGAAATCCCTGAGAGCCCCAACAGTTGCACAAGCTAATCCTTTGGCTGCTTCTTATGATGTGTGACTCTAGGACTTAGCCCTAAAGTTGACCTGGGCAGGAACCTTTATTCCTGCCTTACCTAACAAGAGACAGCAGGTCTGGCCATACAGCCAAACCATATTTGCACCTTGTAAAAACTCCCAACATAAAAGAGCCAAAACCAACTACTGTATACAAGGACACAGCTATTTTGAGAATTATGCTGTGCATACACAGATATCTAACTGACTTTCAGAGATAAAAATAGTAGACAATCTTTCTTCCATTCATTTCTCAATATCTATCTGTGCACTTCCACGATGGTGACTAGAGGAGGGGCCTGAGTGAGTGGATACCCCCACCCACCACTGGAGCTTTCTACTGTGCATGCACACTGACCTGTGCAGCAAAGGCTACTTGTCTGAATAGTCGGTTAAGGTTTTATTTTTGCTTTTGTGTGGTGGTTTTTATCTCTGCTTTTATATTGTTTCTGTTTTGGGTCCTTTTGGTCTCACTTTTTTCCTGGAGGTGAGAGCTTTCTCTCCCTACATTACCCAAGAAGAGACAGCAATCATGGCCATTTAGCCAAGCTACAAGCATACCCCATAATATCCCACCATCTGGACAGGAGCCAATACCAGCTGCTAGGCATTACACAGATAGCCAACACTTGCTAAGATATCTTACAGCTAAGTAATAAGAGACATGAAAAGGGAAGCCTGTCTCCACATCACAACCACCAGGAGTCACTGAGCTTAACAACACAGCAACATACAGTCATTTAATCATTGAAAATACATCTAACTATTGAAAATGTCCAGGAAAAAACAACAAAAGACTCATTCAGCACATGTCCCCAAACAGAAAAGAATAACTGAGACAAATGAGCTGGAGGCAGACATAGACTTCCCATTAGAAGAAAAGCAGGCTTTGGATCTGCCTGAGACGGAATTCAGAAGAATGATATGGACACAAATTCAAACGCTCCACAGAGGGGTAGAGGAAAATAAGTAAAGAAAGTGCTACAGGAGCAATCAAACAAGATAGATGTAGCTTTGGAAACAATTCAAAACCTGTAAAAAGAGGTCCAGACGATTAATAATAAATATCAGAAATGGACAATACACTGAAACGGCAAAGGAATAGAAGAGATGGAAGCCAGAACCAGCGAGCTGGAAGACAAATCTGTCAATACTGCTAAGCAATCAGAAAAAATGATTATAAAAAAAATCTGAAGAGCGTCTACGATTCAAGTTGGATAACATGAAGAGGACTATTCTAGAACAGGAAGAATCACAGAAGTCCACAGAGGAGATAGTTGAAGAGCTTCTGGAAGAAAATTTCCTTAACATCTTGAAATGATGAGAAGATATGCATTCAAGAAGCTGAACAAACCCCAAGAAGGATAGACCCCAAAAGAAAATCACCAAGACATGTTATAATCAGGCTCTCCAGAATCAAAGACAAGGAGAGAATCCTAAAAGCAGCCAGTGAAAAGAGAGGTGTTAATTAAAAAGGCAAGCAAATCATATTAGGCTCTGACCTCTCAGCAGAAACCATGCAGGCAAGAAGGTAATGGGGAGACTTATATAAAACCCTAAAATAATGAATTTCTATAAAAAATGGCTACTATAAAGGCACAAAGTGGCTGGTTTACAAGCTTTCATGAGTGTGCTTAGTTTCAGAATCAGGTGGGTAAGGTAGAATCCCCACTGAATAGTTTTCCTCTTTTCCAGATGGATCTGGTGAAAGGGGGTGTGAGATGATGGTGATAGGATTTTATGATGCAGTCGTGAGTAATTGTTAGCAGGATTAATCACAATCGACACAAATGTACAAAAAAACAAAAACAACTTTTGCACATACAGGGAAAGGAATATCTTTAAAAATTAAACTGCATTCCTATTTATAAGCTATTTTATTTCTAAAACATTTCATTCAAAAGATTGCATTCAAAGTATGGTTGGTGGGACTCAGGAGAAAATGTTTTGAGATATGTTTCCCTAATCCTGCCTCTCCTTTTGGCTCAGAATCATCTGAGGAAGCATGTCCTGTAAGACTCTAGCTCTTTTGGCACCACGAGATATATAAGGAATCGGCTAGGATAACTCAGCTTGGGTTAACCAGGCCCTACCACCTTGTTGTTGTTGTTGCCAGGTGCCATCGAGTCGGAACCGACTCATAGCGACCCCATGCACAGCAGAACGAAACAATGTCCGATCCTGGTCCAACCTCACTACCGCTGCCACACTTGAGTCCATCAATGATGCCACCTGGCCAATCCATCTCGTTAGAGGTCTTCCTCTTTTTCTCCGACCCTCCACCTTACCCAGCATGACATCCTTCTCCAACGATTGTTTCCTCCGGACAATATGTCCAAAGTAGGAGAGACGAAGTTTAGCCATCCTGGCCTCCAAGGAGCACTCTGGCTGCACTTCTTCCAAAACAGATCTATTGGTTCTTTTGGCAGTCCATGGCACTTTCAGTATTCTCCTCCAACACCACAACTCAAAGGCATCAATTCTTCTACGATCTTCCTTATTCACTGTCCAGCTTTCGCATCCATATGAGGCTATTGAAAACACAATGGCCTGGGTCAGTATAGACATAAAACCTACCACCTTAGGAGACCAGAAATACAAGCTCTGCTGTGCAGTTCATCTTGTCAGCTGATATCAAGTGGTTCCCTGGCTCATGGTGACCCCTTGCATTATGGAACCAAACACTGTCCAGTCTTATGCCAGCCCCATGATGATTGCAGATCAGACCACTGTGATCCATAGAGTTTTCACGGCTGGTTTATGGAAGTAGATCACCAAACTTCTTCCTAGTTCCTCTTTGTCTGGAATCTCTTATGAAATCTGTTCAACACCACAGCAAACCTAAGCCTCCAATGACAGACAAGTAGTGCATTGTGGTGCATTGACCAGAAATCAAACCCAGGTATCTTACATGGAAGGCGAGACGTCTACTACTGAATTACCACTGCCCCGACTGCTCCATGCTTTATCATAGCTTTTATCTCACCCAGCTCTACAGCCCAGTGAGTCTTAGCACTCACATACACACACAGCAGTCCCCAGCTGTGCTTTCTCTCAGCAGAGGCTGAGCACTCCAGCCCCCCGCCTGGGTTCACTTCTGCTTGAGGTGAAGTCAGTGTGGGTTGGCACTTTAGGGGTCTTACCTCCTCCCATTGGTCCTTCTTCACCATCAAAGGATGTCTGTGTTGTGCCAAGTGTCACTACCACCACCCCTTCTTGAGTGAGAAGCCTTGTCATCTCCTTTTATAGTCCACCCACACCACCCACCCCGCCAAGTTTATAGGTCTCTGGCTTAATCTTTCCCTCTGCCGCCATTACCTGCAGGACAAACAGCCCTGTCACCTGGTATGCTAGACCCTGCAGTCAGACCTCTGCCAGCGTTTCTGGCCTTCTCCTCTGACTCTCCTTCCTGTACCTCAAGGGTCAGCCCTGGGGCCCCTGGTCACACCCATGATTGACTCCTTACACCTTCACACCTCTTAGTAACTTGTCTTTTTCTTCCACTTCCTGTAACACTACCTCCTCTGTGTACCCACTCCTCCCGCAGCCCACATGCAGCTCACCCTTCCACTGACCCAGTCCTTTCCTCCCAGATGACTTGACCCCATGAAGCCCACACTGGGGGGACTTGCAGGTGCCTGTCTCTCCCATTTAGATCATAAGCCCCTCCAGAGTTGGTAACATCTGGCTTAGCTCTCGCAAGCCCCCTCTCCCCATGTCCTGCATAATACATAGTTGACTAATGCTTATTGACTAAAGATGAGTTCCCCGTTGTACACTTCAGCTTCAAGCCTGGTGGCTGCCAGGAGCCATGTGACGGACTATTTCTGCAGCTTTGCATGGAACAACTACCCAGCTACATCCTCTCATTTTATGGGCAAGGATCTTGCCTGTTTCACTGCTGCAACAGCCCTTGATCACCTCATCCGGGGCTCATCCTCCTCTAAAGAGTCACAAGAGCTGCTGAAGAGGAATTTAAAAGAACCCTATGCTCAGGCATGAGTGGGGTGGGATTCTATCATCAGTTTTAGAGACCTCACCCCGTCTGAGAGGGCTGCTCCTAGACCAGATACGGAGGAGGGAAGTCACTCAAGTCCTGATGGGCACGTGGGGACCTGCCAGGAGCCGGCTAATTTTACAGGCCTCTGACCCTGGGCCAGCTTTTGAAGACTGCCAGATCTCAACTCGACACCTTGTGCCTGTCAACAACCTGGCCCATGCCTCAGCCTCAGCCTAAGCCAGAAAACCTTTTTCTCAAGGTTAAAAGTGGCCGACCTTTGACAAGCAGCATTGGCTAAATTCTTCGTTCCCTAAAAGGGAAGGTGCCTGTTGTCATTTGCCAGTTCTTATTGGGTGATGGGGCAGGAACATTGCGCTGTGTGTACCCAGCAGAAGGTTTTGTGACTGAAGGTGCATTGGGGAACAGCTGTTATTAAAATAGCTGTCTTTGAACATGTGTACTGCAGTCTGTTGGCCAGTTTGCACCAGGGCCCATGTGGTAAGACAGCTTGTTGGCTCTCACTGGCTCCCTTGCAGACAACAGTGCCACCCGCCTACACGTAGCACACTCCTTCATGTGTGTGCCACCAGATAGCTGACAAAATGGCCAGGACACACTCCAATGAGTAAATGCTTGGATTTTTTCTTTTAACATAGGGGTGACGGTCCAAAGATTGACTTGGTGGGCAGTGCCATCTCCGGCATCCTGGACAAGGATCTCTCAGACCGCAGCAATGACATCGGTGAGTAAAGGAGAGCGCTCCTGCTGTTTGTTTGCAAAGTTATAAAAACTGTAGAGACCTGGCTTTGTCCTGTCAGCAGCATCATGAGAAATGACACAACCATTGGCAACTGCAAAATTCCCAGCCTTCCATTGGTGTTTTGCACTGTAGCTTTGTAAAGAGGAGTGCTGAAGGTGGCTTTCCTGAAAATAAAATGCCTGGGATGTTTCTTCTCCCTAGCCTTAGGAAAAAGTACATGCAAAGTCTAAATGAAAGAAATGATGAGTAACCCTTTTTGTAAAAGTGGACATTAACACTTCTGCTCATGTTTTGCTGTGACTTCTGTATTGAGTCTAAAAGGCTGACAGGGTCAAAATGCAGAATGTCAGAGTTCATTGTAGATAGAACATTAAGTGCTTTGAATATGAGTTTAAATGAGCTTTGAGGTGGTAGTTGCCGTTTCTTTCAGATAATGAGTGCATGTTCCCAAAGTCAAGTCATCCCATATGATAAATGGGAGGGAGCTAAAGTCTCTCTTGGTAAGCAAGTCTGAGGTCCTTTTGAGGGTGGGTGGGAGTGGGCGTAAGGCTGCATGTGTGCCAGTTGTGGCTGGTGTTGTACCTGATAGTAGTCTAACTTGGGTAACAGCCCTTTTAGAAAGTTCAGATTTAAGGGTCAGATTCAAGTTCAGGTTCACATTTTATTATTTTTAGCTGTACTTTTTTCATTTGTACCTATCATGGTCTAAGTTAACACCTCATATTTTATATAATATGTTATTGTTGTTAAGTACTGCTGGGTCAGTTCCGACTCCTAGAGAACACTGTATAGGGTTTCTGTCTATATATAATATGTTGTTGTGGTTAAGTGCCGTCAAGGTGGTTCCGACTCATAGTGACCCTGTATAGGGTTTCCTAGGAGTGGCTGGTGGGTTTGAACCACTGACCTTGTGGTTAACAGTCCAGTGCTTATCCTACATTGCCACACCATGACTCTGTATGTAATGTGGTGGTGGTGGTGGTGTGCCATGGAATTGGTTCTGACACATAACGACCCTGCATAGGGTTTTCGAGGCTGGAAATCTTTATGGGAGCAGAAAGCTTCATCCTTCTCCCATGGAATGGCTTGTAGTTTCGAACTGCTGACCTTGCGGTTAACAGCCCAACTCATAACCACTATGCTACCAGAGCTCCTTATATGTAATATAGAGGACATTTTTTAATCTACATATTTTCCACTAAACTTTAAATTTTTATATAATTGTAGATTCACATGCAAATGTGAGAAATAATACAAGGAGACCTACCTTTTACCCAGCTTACCCAAGGATAAAAGCTTGCAAAATGATAGCATAGTATCCCAACCAGGATATTGACATTGATATAATCCACCAAGCTTATTCAGATGTTCCCAGTTTTCCTAGTCCTCATGGTGAGTGTGTGTAGTTCTGTGCAGTTTTATCACAAGTGTAGTTTGTATATCCACCACTGGAGTCAAGATACAAAACATATGCATCACTGCCAGCATCCCTCCTGTTGCTCTTTTGTAACCACACCACTCCTATCCCCTTTTCCCTCTCCCACCCTCACCCATACTTTTGGCCACCATTGTCAGGGAGTGATAATGTCATGGAAGATTCCCAGCATCATCTGCATTAGCTGCTCAATTCAGAAACAAGTGCCTGACAGCTGTCAGGTCTTATAAGAGGTTCTGGAGAGGCTAACTCAAGCCTTCTCCTCACATAGCATCGCTCCTCTGTTCCAGTGCTGTTGTTTTCTGAACCTGTTCATCAAATTGCAACTGCCAACCTGCAGTCTCTGGTCTAATCTTGCAAAGGCTTAGTGGTAGGATATGTAGTTGTGACTGTGAGTACCAAAAGCCATTGCCCTGTTTCCAGTAACTGTTTTATATCCATAATCAGTTTTTGAGAAACCCAGTCAGGAGGCACAACCAAGAACTGACAGCTTGAGTTGCTGCTGTAATAACCAACACACTGGTCCCCTGTAGCTTGTGACTTGGCTAAAGGGCAGGGGAGAGCAGAGCAGTTGTTGGCTGCTAATCAAATAGAATCATCAGATTGTTGTCATGGCAAATGTTGTGCTATATATCTTTTTATCACAAATTTAAAAAAAGAATCTACAGAGTGAGGTTGATTAAGTTCTGGGTCTCCTACTGTGGTTTAGCGTTTGAGCCAGGGTGACCAGTGGACGAAGTGTTGGTGAAGGTGATGTGGGTCTCACACAGGAAAGGAGGGTTCTTTCCACCTCTAGAATGCACACGCTGTATAACTTACTTGTTAAGAGTGTTGGCCTTTGACCCATGCTTTCTTTCCGATCTGGAGAGAACTAAGGTATGAGTCACTTTTTTTGTTTTTGTTTTTCAGTCTGGCAAGTTAGTTGGAAATGTTGGGGACACTAATTAGGGGTTTTAGTCTACAGGAGCTTTTACTGCATAAACTAAGTGCAGGTAGTATGTATCCAAGAGCCCAGAAACACAATGCAGAGGTTTGCTTCTCACTTGCTTTGCTAAAAAGACATTAATTCTAGAAGACAGTAGTTCTTCAAGGTAATAATTTAATGAATATATTACTTGCATTGCAAGAAACAGTGATTGACAGCCATGTTTATTCAAATAAATATTTGAATGTCCACTTTCTTCAAGAATGCATGGGTACAAAGAACCACACATCCAGACTCCACCTTCCAAAGGCTTTTGTTATTTTGGGTCCCTAAGTTGGCAAATTAACAATGAGGTAACACTGAAGGGCTGTATAAATGACAAATTAGTTGGTTTTAGCTGCTGTCCCCCAATTCATGGCGACCCCATGCACAGCAGAACAAAACGCTACGTGGTCCTGTGCCATCCCTATGATTGGTTGCAGATCAAACCATTGTGATCCATAAGGTTTTCATGGACTGATATTTCTGAATGAGGTCACTAGATATTTCTGAATGAGATCATTCTTTTTAGTCCATGTTGGTCTGAAACCTAGCAATGCATAAGCCTCCGCTGACATGGCTGTGCATGGGTGCATTGGCCAGGAATCAAACCTGGTTCTCTTGAATGTTGTTCAGTACTGTGGAGTCGCGACCCTGTATAGGGTTTCCGAGGAGTGACTGGTGAGTTTGAACCACTGACCTTGTAGTTAGCAGTCCAATGCTTATCCCATGGCCCCCTAGCAATATCCCCCTGAATGGAAGGTGAGAAATCTACCACTGAGCCACCCATGCCCCTGTGACCAATGAGTGGTAGAAAGAGAATGCTGGCCAGAGAAGGGGATGTTCCATGGGGAGGCCAGATATCGGGCAGACTTCCTGAAGGGTGTGGACTTAATCTGTAACTTGAAGTTTAATTTGCCCAGGTTGGGATTGGATGTGTGCTGATAATTGTGAGTAGATCACCATCAACCTGGCTGCAGGGGAGGGTGTGTGCTGGGATGGAGCAGGAGTCAAACTGGAAATGTAAGTAGGGACTAGATTGAGTTTGAGGTGGGTGGGTTTCTCGTTTTCTCTGTAGGCAGGGAGAGCTGTTGATGGTTAACACTGAAGTAACATGATATGGTCTAAAAACTCAGCTAGTAATGATGGAGCTTTGTGGGGCCAATCAGATGAAGGAAGGATGGGTGTTAAGGAATTGGTCTGTTTGATGGTTTCAATGAGAAGGACCAAGAGTTAGAATTAAGTTGGTCACACAAGAATTGTGGAAGAAAGGATCAATTTGCAGGTAGCAATACAAGAGGGTTCTTTCTAGATCTTAGGAACAAATTGGACTTGGGAGGGAAGAGAAGGAGAGAATGATTTGTAGAATGTGAGATTTTAAGTTTGGGTGACAGGAGGTAAAGTAACTTGAAAGGAGTGTGTCAGAAGGAGCTGTTTTGGGGTACAATGACAAGAATTTCGTTAAGCGCATTGACTTTGAGCTTTAGTTGCACATCCCCTGTCAGTGCCAAATGGAGCCGATGGTATCGGACCAAGCCCTGAGAGACTGGCAGGGACTGGAGGGAGAGCTGGTAGCCTATGAGGAAGTCCCACCATTGATGTCTGCAGACTTGGGTTTGAGTGCTAATTCGGCTGCTTCCTGGAAGTGTAATTTACCCATTTGCAGTTTACGTAGACTCTTTGAGCTCCATTTTATCATAAGGAATAATAACATCTCTACTTACTTCCTCACATTGTCTTCCAGAAGTATGTAGAATCGCTTAGTGGGCTGTAAAAAGTGATAACAGATTATTCTTTCTATTATTGCTATTATTATGGTTTGAGTGAAAGCTTACAGAGCAAATTTTCCATTCAACAGTTTTATGGCTATTTTGTTTCGTGACTTTAGCATCAATCACCACAGTATATATCAGCATTCTTCCCACTCCCTCCCTGGATTCCCCATTTCTGTTCCTCCTCCTTTCATGCCCTTCCTGCCTTCTGAGCTTTGTTTTTGAGCAAATGTGACTTTTTTGGTCTCGTGTGGTTGATTGGTCTCAAGTGTACGCTCCTCACGGGTGTTGTTCTTCACTTTAATAACTGCTTCTTCTTAATGTTGTGTTTACATAGAGGTGAGAGTGGAGCCAGGAAGATACGTTAGCTCTCACTGTGAGAGAAGAGAAAGAAGAACCTAGGGCTGAAGACCAAACCCTGGACAAAGGCTACATTTTAAGGGAAAGGTGGGATCTTGCAACTTCACAGAGGTTAGGGAAGGACAGGTTTCTTAGCAGGATGTTTTCAGGCGTGAGCTTCCCAGGAGAATAGGGCATTACAGAGGGGTAGCTCTTCTCAGTGCTGCTTTTGTAGCTGCTTTTGCAGCATTTGTTCATTGCTTTCCATCAAGGAAGAAATCATTTGTACCAGAATTTTTTGTGAGTGAATCAGACAATTGACGCTGCCCATATGTGAGTTGCAGTGAATAGCATAATACAGCCCTGAAAGCCATTAGAAACCATCAATGTTAGCTATAAATAAATCTGTTTCCTCTTCATAAAGCTGTAATTTAAAATTATTACAATATTAAATTATAGAACATGGTGTTTT